ATTTTTGCTTCAAAATTCCCTGCAAATTGACTGAAAACTTGTTCTTAGAAGTTTAGGGAGAAGAGAGATAAAGACATCAAACAACTGTGATGTCACTGTTACAAAATAGCTGCTTTTTAATCTATTTTTTTAAGAAGGAATGCAGACTTCCTCTCTAAATCTCCTCCTTCAAATTATCAAAAATCTAATACTGATTTTCTGCAAATACAGGCCTTTTAAACATGACTAATATATCATATGGCATTACATCAAAATGCAAGTTAACACTTCATGAGATTTTGTCCAACATCTGATGTCTTTTAATAGCACTCCTTAATCACATGGCTCTTTAACTTTGCTTAGTAGGAGACAATTCTTCCTTTCTAGGCACTCTGCCTCTATTAAAGTCTGAGCTTTACACTGTTGAGTTTTAACTTCTTTTTGCAAGGGTTTTATTAAATGTGTGAGAAGGTATTTTTTGTTTGACTCAGATGTTTATTACTTCTTATCTATGTTACAGCCTAACATAGTACATACTACAGCCTGAGTTCTACAGCACTTCAACAAATTAAAAATGGAGCCCCATCTCTCTCTCTACAAGGCCTTTTAAGGATAAAATGTCCAATTAAGAAATGACACCTAAATTACTTTTACTTTTAACCCAATAACCAACCACCCATGGCCCACAATGTGAATTTTTCTGTCCAATTACACAAAACCACCCAAACCCATGGAGAAGAAGGAGAAGAAGATGGTGAAGAAGGACCAGCCTCCACCCTAAAGCCTCCATCTTGCTCTATATTTATTAGTATATTCTAAAACCTTCAACTCTAAGTTTTCCACCCTTTGATGTTACACACTCCTATTCAAACTCCACACCCACAATCCCAGTTCCATCATTCCATTTTGGAAGCTCCTCCACAGCCTCAGGTCAATGCAGTGTTCTCCTGGGGGTCAGTGCCTGTCAGCACACTTTATTCAAATAAAGTTAAAGGACTCCTCTGCCTTCATTTTGGACATAAACCTCTGATGTTTCTGGATTAATTTTCCTGAGAAAAAAATCAAGGCTAAATCTCTGCCTCCTTACAGGAGCGCTCCTCACAAGAGCCCACCTCCACCATGCCACTCTCCCCATCCATTTCCCAGTGCTTGACCACAGAAATGTTGACTTTAAGAAGGTTAAAGGTGGCAGCCTCAGGCACCAAACGGGGCTGGGCAGGAGGGGCTGGTTGTTGTTTTTTCAGCAGAAAAGTGTCAGGAAGATGCAGCGGCCCCGGCCCCCGCTGAGGCGCCGAGTGACAGCGGCAGCTGCTGGGGTGAGGGAGCCCCGCGGGGCCTGGGCTTCCCGGGCCAGGAAAGGCCATGACAGCTCCTGTTCCCACATCTGGTGTTAAAAACGGGAGCAGAGTCCTGGTATTGCAGGGATTTCAGTAGTTCAGGGAACAGCCTCTCCTCCCAGGCACCAGGAGAACAGGACACAGACATTGGTGTTAAAAATGGGCTCAGACTCCTGGTACTGAAGGGATTTCAATAATTCAGGGAACAACTTCTCCTCCAGGCACCAGGGACACAGTCACTGGTGTTAAAAACAGGCCCAGACTCCTGGTACTGAAGGGATTTCAGTGATTCAGGGAGCAGCCTCTCCTCCCAGGCACCAGGAGAGCAGGAGAACAGGACACAGACATTGGTGTTAAAAATGGGCTCAGACTCCTGGTACTGAAGGGATTTCAATAATTCAGGGAACAACTTCTCCTCCAGGCACCAGGGACACAGTCACTGGTGTTAAAAACAGGCCCAGACTCCTGGTACTGAGGGGATTTCAGTAATTCAGGGAACAGCCTCTCCTCCCAGGCACCAGGGACACAGTCACTGGTGTTAAAAACTGGGACCAGACTCCTGGTACTGAAGGGATTTCAGTAATTTAGGGAACAACTTCTCCTCCAGGCACCAGGAGAACAGGACACAGACATTGGTGTTAAAAACGGGCCCAGACTCCTGGTACTGAAGGGATTTCAGTAATTCAGGGAACAGCCTCTCCTCCAGGCACCAGGAGAACAGGACACAGTCACTGGTGTTAAAAACGGGCCCAGACTCCTGGTACTGAAGGGATTTCAGTAATTCAGGGAACAGCCTCTCCTCCCAGGCACCAGGGACACAGACATTGGTGTTAAAAACGGGCCCAGACTCCTGGTACTGAAGGGATTTCAGTAATTCAGGGAACAACTTCTCCTCCCAGGCACCAGGGACAGGAGAGCAGGACACAGACATTGGTGTTAAAAACGGGCCCAGACTCCTGGTATTGGAGGGATTTCAGTAATTCAGGGAACAGCCTCTCCTCCCAGGCACCAGGGACACAGACATTGGTGTTAAAAACGGGCCCAGACTCCTGGTACTGAGGGGATTTCAGTAATTCAGGGAACAGCCTCTCCTCCCAGGCACCAGGAGAGCAGGACACAGCCTTAAGCTGCACCCAAGGAGGTCTAGGCTGGGCAGGAGGGAGGATTTCTTCCCAGAAAGAAGACATCTCCTGTTCCCACATCTGGTGTTAAAACTGGGACCAGACTCCTGGTACTAAAAGTGATTTCAGCATTTATTATAATAAAAAGAAAGACCTAAAGCAAGGGGGCCCACGGGCCGAGCAGGAGCGATCCCATTGAGGATGCTGCAGGTCTTCCTCAGCAGTGATGTCCCCGATGTTCCAGGTGGAGCAGCTCAGTTTCCCTGGATCAGATGCCCCTTTTTATCCTGTTTTTTGTCTCTTTGGATTGGTTTCTTTTTGGATCCTTTATGCAAGTCCAGTTTTAGGTCCTTGACTGGCCCATTACAGTTCTGTCCAGGCTGGCTCATTTCGCTCGGGGAGTGGTGCACTTTACTTAGGTGTAATTTCTTATAACAACCTTTTAATCCCTTTTACAATATAACAACCAAACTAACAGTACATGTTTAAGAATTATCAATTGTTTTACAACAGTTTCTAACCTATTTTTAACATCTGGGGCTACAAGAATAACAGCAAGAGCTCCGTGAGGAGATCAGGGCCTGAGGAGTTTAACGGGAAGGGAGATGATGTGGGGATCCTGTCAGACCTAAAGCTGATCCTGACCCCAGTGGCTTGAGACTAAGGGATAATTCTCCTTTCTTCTATCCCTGCAAGCATGAATGTTTGCTAATTAGAGGGATCTTTTTGTAGACTGAAGGCAGGACTGAAAAACTGACTTAGTCTGAATTCATACAAACCACGAGTAACCCATGTAAGTGAAGTGTAAGTAACCAATGTAAGTGAGGTGTAAGTAACCCATGTAAGTGCTAATTAGAGAGGTATTTTTGTACACTGAAGGCAGGACTGAAAAAGAGTCTGAATTCATGCATGACCCATGTAAGTGAAGTGTAATTACTCTATCTAAGTGCTAATTAGATCTCTTTGTAGACTGGAGGCAGAACTGAAAAACTGACTTAGTCTGAATTCATGCAAACCCCCAGTAACCCATGTAAGTGAACACATACACACACACACACACAGAATATTTAAATATTCTGCATTGGCACAACCTTCTGGACTCTGACTCAGATTCTGCCAATGCCTGAAACATTTGCAGCATTCACAAATTCATTCTAACCTGATCTTTCAAAAAAGAGCAGTCTGAGGGTCTTCCTCCTGCCTGTGAGAATGAAATGCTTTTAAATATTTACTATTTAATGCAACAGAGCAACAGATTTAAGTATTTAGGTGAATTCTTCCTAGAGAATTATTTAGCTATCAGATACTTAGTATTTTGCATGAAAATTTAGATTCCTGTGATAGAAAGGAATTTGATGTTCTTCTTCAGAAGGATTTAAACTAAAATAATTTTATTTCCTGGAAAAGACCACCAGATATAACAGGACAAACACATTGCCCACCTCACCCAGATTCCATGAAATGTCACAATTCTGAACTATACAAAAACCAAAATAACTTCAGTATCACTTCAGCTCTTGTGGAAAATGAAGACCTCATGTCTGTTAAATCTCTGTGCTCCTGAGACAACACAAAACCCAGCAGCAGTGGTGGGAGAAGGGAAAGGGTCTAAAAAAATCTGCTTTCTGTTAGGAAAAACTATAAAATATAAAAACTTTTCAACAAAAGATGAAAAACATGCCTTTCATTGGCATAAAATCAGGAGATTTCCTTGCAGGAGGGTGTATTGAAAATTCCCTAGAAAGTAGAATACAGAAAGAATAACTGCCACTGGCAGCAAACTCCAACCCTCAGCAAATACATGTGTTACAAATATAACAAAACAAACACCACTCAAAGCCTTGCAAGCCAGGTTTAATAATTTTTTTAACCTTAGGATTGGGCCTTAAATTATATATAATTAGTGAAGTCCTTTCTTACTTCTATTTCCCACTTTAGTTCTTGAAATTTGGTGTCTATTGAATCCTGGTTTAGGGCTTTTTCTAAACCCAAGACGGAGAATTTTGTTAACAGTGCAATAAAAATAACTTCATAGTGTTACAAGGAAACATTAAAGACTTTTTCTTTTTTGTGTGTGCTGCTCTTTCCCTTAAAAAAAAAATACAGACATTGTTTCTTTAAAAGGCTCCATCTGCAAATCCCATTAGATGTGCATATAAGGTTTCAGATGATTAATAGCTGCCTGCTTTGCTTTGGTTGGAGGGGCTGAGGGTATGTGTGTTAACCCCTCCCTCCCCTCACTCACATTTCACTTCACAAACTTGTCCCTGTCTCCCCAGCACAGTATTTAAAAAGTGTTTCACTCATGCCCAGCACTTCACAAGGAAGCAGCTCATGGCCATCCCTGCCTAAATCTGGTTGGCAATGAAGACCTTCAGAACCAGAGTTCCCAAAGCAGCAAACCCGCAGCAGCAGCAGCAGCAGCATCACGAGCAAACTGCTGTTTAGGGAGGAGATCTGCTCTGTAACACCTGGAAGAGTTTCCCCTCTGCTTCTCTCGTGCTTTTGGAGGCTGAGCTGCCAGCAGGCAGGAGCCCTGAGGTGTGGGCAGGACTGGAGGCAGATGGATCCCAGCAGCAGCAGCTGCATGCGCAGCCCCCAGCCTCCCCCCCTGCTCTGGGGCTGTGTGAGGAGCTCCCACCCCGAGCTGAGCTCAGCTCCAGGGCTCAGCCACTACCCAGCAGCGCCGTTCTCCTTCCAGCAAAAAGCAGATTTTGCTGCTTACTCTGATTTCTCGCCCTCCTGCCTGGTGCCAGCTGCCCACAGCTTCCCTCAGGAGCAGCACCCCTCGTTCCAGCACCCTGAGTGGCACCTGGCAGCACCCGAGGCCACCAGAGGAGCAAACCCAGGGCTGGCCTTGGCTTCTGGAGAGTCAGAGGGCAGCAGCACCAGCCTAGTGAGTGTGGCTGTGGATGAAGATGATGAGGCACCAGCAAATCCTACAAGTGACTCTGAGAAAAAACCATCCAGGAGGAAAAAGGAAAGCTCAGGTAGGTGATGTGAAACCAGGGTTGTGGGAGAGTGCAGGAGATGGAGCGAGAACACCTGGTGAGACTGGGACTTAAGAAGGAAAGCTGCTGAGCAAAACATTTCATAATATTGACTGGGGAAACTTTAGACAGTAACAGGACTGTCTAAACCAGTCTAACAGGACTAACTCACTGTCTTATTCTTTTTCTGGTCCTTGTATTTCACTCCTGCACATCTTGGGTACTGAGCTGGGCATTTTGCTCACCAGCACAATTTGCTGGAGCTGAGCAGGAGTCACGTGGCATGCACACACAGAACTCCACCAGGACCTGGAGTTACAGGGTTTTGAGTTCACACCTGCCATTTGTCTGAGCAAAAGAGAATGGCAGGGAGCAAAGATCCCCCACCTGAGCTGCCTGTGGCCATAGGGAATGTCATACGAGGGATCTGGCATCTCAGCTGTGGTAAGGAGTACAGGAGGCAAAGCCTTCCTTTAAATATAAATTCTATTTGGGCTCACTCAGTGTTAAATGTTTTTGCCCATCAGAACAGGAGGTTCTAAAAGTTTGCCCATCGGGACAATGTCCAACAGGGCAGAAAATGTTCATGGTTTTCATGGTGTCATCCTAGCTGGCAAAGCACATTCTTTCTACACTGTAAAAATCAATAATTTCATAGCATAATTTCATTTTTGAAATCAATAATTTCAAACTCTAAGTTGCTGATATCTCAGATCCAAATCAGTGAAATATGCATTAAATTGTTTTTTTTCTTGGTAAGTTGTTAAAATTTAAGATGCTTCTATGCATTAAAGTACCATAATATTCACTTACAAGCTGCAGTGTGCTTTTTCCCACAGCTCTGCTACCTAGTGGAGAACATTTTCCAGTAGCCTCATTTCACAGGCAGAGAATGCAGGGATAAAAATATTAATTGATTGATTTCTAGGTTTTGCAGACATTTGTAGAATTTAAGTTCATTCATACTGAAAAAGCATGTTTAGGCAAAATTTTCCCAAATACAAAGAAGTTTAAATAAAATAATAATTTAAAAGATGAACAACACTTTCATTTAAACATCAGCTAGTCATAGGTAAATGTGAGGAAGCAGATTTCGCTTCCTCACATTACAGGGATATCTTTATCCTTAAAGAGACTGATTCCAAAGCACATCTCCCTGTTTTAAACAGAAGAAAAAAGTTCCTTTATTCTCTCTTACTAGCACTCTTCTTTTCCTACTTGCTGCTGTCCCCTGCTCCCTTCCCTTCAGGGAGCTGTAAGCAATGACATCCCTGAGAGGTCTGGACTTCCACCTTCTGCTGACCACTGCAGCAAGGGGAAAGCTGCTAAATTCAACCCAGAATTGAAGCTGCTTGGGATCCTGGAAGGAGACACACTCCTTGCCAGAGGCACATATTTCCCTTTCCCCTTTCCCTTCCCATTTCCTTTCCCCTTTCCTGAATTTCCTTGCCCCTTTCCTGAATTTCCTTTCTTTTCCTTTCCTGAACTTCCTGAATGTCCTGAATTTCCTTTCCTGAATTTCCTTGAACTCCCCTTCCTCTCCTTTCTTCTTTTTCAGCTGACAGTACAGTAGGAAAAACCTGCCCAAAATGATTTGTCCTTTCACACATTTGTCATTTCACACATTCTCTTGTCAAAACTGAAGCAGCTGGGCCACATTTCCACCTCTGGAATCCCACAGAACCTCAAACCATGGATAAGGATTTTGTCTCTTGACAATGCCCTGTGGCACACAGCGCAGATGAGAGATTCCAAGCTACACACCCTGCTGTCCAAATATCCATTTTAAATTATTCCCACTGTCAAAACTGCCCTTTGGAAAGGGAGTTCTTCCCACAGGGCTGTGAGGAGCTCCCAGGCTGTAGTTTATTGTCTCTCTCTGCTCAGAGATGTGATCACCATAAGCTGCCCCACCTCTGTCCTCTCAAAATCAACCAGCACCACTCAGTCATGCTGAGCTCAAGGGGGGGGCATAAAGAAACTTCTTAAATCTTCCACTGAGCACTTCAAGGAGTCTTTTAGATCTCTGCCACTGCACATGTTCACCCAGATCAGCATAACCCCAAATCACAGCAGTGTGCTTGCATCTTAGAGACCCAGAGCTGTGAAAACTGCCCCTTGCAAAGGGAGTCCGTCCCACAGGGCTGTGAGGAGCTCCCAGGTACTTTGCATTTGCTGTAGTTTATTTTCTCTCTCTGCTCAGAGGAGATGTGATCACCATAAGCTGTCCCACCTCTGTGCTCTCAAAACTAAGGCTGGCAGCACCACTCAGGCATGCTGAGCTTGAGGGGGGCATAAAGAAACTTCTTAAATCTTCCACTGAGCACTTCAAGGAGTTGTTCAGATCTTTGCCACTGCACATGTTCACCCAGACCAGCATAACCCCAAATCACAGCAGTGTGCTTGCCTCTTAGAGACCCAGAGCTGTGAAAACTGCCCCTTGCAAAGGGAGTTCTTCCCACAGGGCTGTGAGGAGCTCCCAGGTACTTTGCTTTTGCTGTAGTTTATTTTCTCTCTCTGCTCAGAGGAGATGTGATCACCATAAGCTGTCCCACCTCTGTACTCTCAAAACTAAGGCTGGCAGCACCACTCAGGCATGCTGAGCTTGAGGGGGGCATAAAGAAACTTCTTAAATCTTCCACTGAGCACTTCAAGGAGTTGTTCAGATCTTTGCCACTGCACATGTTCACCCAGATCAGCATAACCCCAAATCACAGCAGTGTGCTTGCCTCTTAGAGACCCAGAGCTGTGAAAACTGCCCCTTGCAAAGGGAGTTCTTCCCACAGGGCTGTGAGGAGCTCCCAGGTACTTTGCATTTGCTGTAGTTTATTTTCTCTCTGCTCAGAGATGTGATCACCATAAGCTGTCCCACCTCTATCCTCTCAAAATCAACCAGCACCACTCAGTCATGCTGAGCTCGAGGGGGGCATAAAGAAACTTCTTAAATCTTCCACTGAGCACTTCAAGGAGTTGTTTAGATCTCTGCAACTGCACATCAGCATAACCCCAAATCACAGCAGTGTGCTTGCCTCTTAGAGACCCAGAACTCCAGCAATAAGGCAGAAAGCAGCAGCAGCAGCAGATCAAGGAAGGAAAGGACAGCTTTCACCAAGGAGCAGCTGAGGGAGCTGGAAGCTGAATTTGCCCACCACAACTACTTGACAAGGCTCAGGAGATACGAGATAGCTGTGAACCTGGATCTCACCGAAAGACAAGTACTTCCCAAACCCTCCCCAGCTCCTCCTTCCTCCCCCACAACTTCTCCTTAATGCTAAAAATCAGATTATGTTGCTCAGGGGTCTGCTTTTGCAAAGGCACAGGGGTATTTTAAAATCAAGCCTCCACATTCTTTCCAACGCCTTCTTGTGGTGGGGTTTGCAGGGGTCCCAGGACGAGGGAGGAGATGAGAATCTCGACTCCATGTTTCAGAAGGCTGATTTATTATCTTATGATATATATTATATTAAAAGAAAATGATATATTAGAAGTATACTAAAGAATAGAAGAAAGGATTTCATCAGAAGGCTTGAAAGGAATGGAATGATGATAAAATCTTGGGATTGCTCACAGCCTCGACACAGGTGGCTGTCATTGGTCACCAAGTAAAAACAATTTCACATGCTGGGTAAACAATTCTCCAAATCACATTCCAAAGCAGCAAAACATGGAGAAGCTGAAGCTTCTCAGGAGAAAAGATCCTAATGAAAGGATTTTTCATAAAATACGTCCGTGACACCTTCATTACATATTTCTGTAAGTAGTTAATAATTTAATTATTTTTCTCTCAACTCAAGATAGACCTGGTAATAACTGGTCTCTGTTGAGCTCTTGTTTACCACCATTCATTGGTGCATATTGATATATCAAGGTTTACATATGGAAATCACCTTAGACTTTGACTAACAGGAAATTATTGAAATGAATGTTTGATATCTTCATTCTTCCTGGGTCAGGTGGTATTTTGAGGTGGAAATTTTTTTTCCTTTTTATAAGGAAAGACAATTTTACAGAGCTTTGTGGAGAGGGGTATTTCTGTTCTCTCATTGTCATCTCAGTCAAGGTTTTCTTATCAAGGCTCAGTGGACAGCAGAAGAATTGTGTAATTATGTGAGGCAAATTAAAATTCCTGAAGCATTCGATTGGATGGCCGAGGTGTTAAAAATACATGAGAGGCACTGTGCCCCTTATTTGTGCCAGATTTTAGGCAAAGCACTTGCACTCCCTTTGAGGGTTTCAGAGGAACATCTGTGTGGAGCATTTTAGAAATAATTGCTCCAGCCTGTGTTAGAGAGATGGGTGAGTCAAACTCTGTTCACCTTTTCTTCTGGAATTCCACAAATCACCTCTCTACACACAAGTGCTTCATACAGCTCAGGCTGAGGCAACAAGTAATTATTTTCTCTTTATCACCCAGGTCAAAGTATGGTTTCAAAACAGAAGAATGAAGTGGAAACGTGTGAAAGGTGGGCAAGCAGTGCCCCCGCACGATCATGACACAGAGGATGTGGACTCTGCTGCCTCCCCCAGCTCTGAGTAGTCCCTGCAGCCATGGGAGAGGAGTTTGGAGAAAGTCATTGGTTGGAATGTGGGTGCAACTGCTTAAAATCAGCTACACAATGAGGTTACAGAGGCAATTAAAGAGCACAGGGGGGAAAAAAAAGCCAAAGGACAGCATGGTTTTGATTTTTGTCTCTCAAACTGTCTTACTGCCACTGGTGTGTCTACAGAAAAAAAACCAACAGCAAACACTGAATATAAAACAGGAGTAATGTTGCAGAGACTCTCAAACATCCAGAAAATCCAGATTTTCAGTCAGCATATGCAGCTCTGTCCTCACCCAGGCTTCCCCTGGTCACACCAATTCAGTCTGCATTTGGACTTGACCATGCACATTTTCCTTGTGACCTACTTGGAGAGAAATAAATACTTTGACAGTCACTGATTTTTCTTGCAAAATGAGTTGGACACCTGTATGAATAGACAATAAGATTACAAAATAAAATGTGAGACTAAAAATAGATTTACACAGAACTCTGCTCACCAGTTGCAGAAGAGAGCCCAGGAAGGTCAGAGCCTTGTTGATGGCAGCAATTTGCAGAGGGACATTTCTTCCAAGCTTGCTGTAAATCCTGAAATTAAATTGTTAGATCTCAGTTTCAAATATTCCTTCAATGCAGTCATTACCAAATGTCCCAGCAAGCACAGCAGAGACTGAACTCTCTATTAAATATCACTATTGTGGTTTCAAGTTTTCCAATAAACTGCTACAGCACCACCAGAAGTTTTAAGAACACTTCAGAACATTCCCACTTTAAATTATCCCCACTTTCAACCAAAACTTGCAGTGTTTCAAATTGTGATGATTTAGAAAAGCGTAGTGGCTGCTCCCATTTCTTATATTTTTTTGTTTCATCTACTAATGCCATCTTTTAAGCAGAATTTCACACTAGTGTGCCACACTATGACCACTGAGAATACTGAAACCTTGGTTTAAATATTTCAGAGGTAACCATTATGTGCAGCTCCAGCCTTTCCCCTTACTCTGATGCTGTTGTGGTTGCATGTGAACTGTAGATATGCTGGGTACAAATTTGTATATCTGGATTATATGTTTATAAAGCTGTTAGTGGTAATTCCACTTGTAAAACACCTCAGAATTGATAAATATCTTTTTTTTTAAAAAAAAACCAGGGATGCTGTATTCTTTTCAAAGAGCTGCTTACTGTATCTGCTAAGAAAAAACAAACATTACATTCCTTCTGAACATTTCCAAACTCTGACTGATGGATGAAAAAAATCAACAGTTTAGAGTTAATATTTGCGCAAAACTGATTTAAAATAATAATTATTTTTAAAAATAAATTATTTAAAGTGAAAGAAACTTGAGCAGTTTGAGCAGCACTGAGGAAGTGAATTAAGTTGGTGTCTGGTTTCCCATACTGCAGTTACTCTTGTTATTCCCCATACTTGCTCTTATTCACTTTATCCAAAAACAACAGTTACATAAAACAAAATGCCAACCCTCCTCTGCCCCTGAAAAAACCCAACAAACTAAGAAAAGAGCATCAGGGATGTCTCACATAGGGCCTCATGTAAATTCTGTGAATATAACACCTACTATATAATCAGTCATAATATTTAGGGGTATGCATGTTCTCTCTCTGGCCTAGACCTGCCCCTGTCTCTTCAGATCTTTTTGATAAGGAAAATTACCCTCAAATTTCCCCTTTGTGGTAGATATTTAAATGGAAGGTGGTTCAGACAGGGAGTTATGGTCAGATCCCAGTTTCTGCAGCACTGAGGATGGTGGACAATGGCAGAACAGCATTCTTTTGATAACCAGACCCAATGTTAGAAACAGGTTAATAATCTCACTATTCAGCTGACATAAAACTAGTTAGCTAAAAAAATTGCCCATGCACAGATGGGAAGAGGCTACAGCTCACTGTATCTTTAAGAACAGAAAATGTCCTTGGCTTTCCTCCTTGAACCTTGCTGCTTTCTGATCACATTTCTGACCAAACTCTCGGCAGAGACTAAAGCAAGCTGTGCTTTGTGAAGAGCTCTGGTGCTCAGATCCCCTACCCTCTCCTCCTGGGCCACAAACCACCACAGAGCAGGAGTTCTTCTTTACTTCTCTCCTTGTAACCTCTTCAGCCATTTATCACTGTGCATCACCTCCTCCCCACTGGGGTTGGAAAGTTTGCAACCTGCAGGAGCAGCAGCTTCTTTTGAGATGAAAACTTTTGGGCTCTTGGCTACTGACATAAACCAAAACCAGCTCCTCACCCAGAGGAGAGGCTAATAAATCTTCTCTTTCAAAGAAGCTGTCAATGGTAGCATAATGAATCCTAATTTACTTAAAAGCTAATCAATGGGATCTCAGTTTGTACCCATAATCACAGCTCCTACATTGTTCTTGCTCTGAATTTTGAGAAATAAGCTATGAGTCACCTGTGAGATCTTCTTGTGCTTAGACAGTTTCTTCATGAAACCATCTGCTCACTCTAAGATTTTAGTGTTTTGAGAAGGAACATTTCACTGCTGACATCAAAGCATTTGACCTCTGAACCTCTGGTGCCAAGAATCTCCCAGGGAAGTCCTGTTGTCTGGGAGCAAAGTCTTTGACCTGCAATTATTTTTGTCAGAAGTACACATCAGGCTGTACTCTCCTCACAGAAGAGAGGGAAGCTACCTGGGGATGTTTGGCAATGTTTTCTGTGCCTTATTGTCAATAAATAATTTGAGCATACAGTCACCCCATGGCATCAGAGGAGTCTGGCAGGAATTCCCCAGGAAGCACAGGCAAGCAGGGCACTGAGACTTTGCCAGTGCAAACAGCCCACAGGGAACAGGGATATCTGTAAAACCACAAAAATATGTGCTGGGGCCTTTGTATCACTGTGCCTCTTCTAAATGGAGCAAGAGAAGTGCTTTCCTTAGAGTCAGAGACTTCATGGACTCTTTATCTCTCTAGCCAGATGCCAATGGAGCAGAGGCCCTGATTTGTTTTACAGGTTCTGTATCCTCTCTTGTTAGTCCTCAGTTCCTCCAGGCCATTCCACAGCTTTAATCCAGGGATTTTTCCAGTCAATGGAGCTCCTTAAGCTCCAAAGATAACCCAAAGCCAGGCCAGCATTGCCTTGAATGTCTCCAGGAATGGGGCATCCACAGCTTCTTCTCTGGGAACCTGTGCCAGGGCCTCAGCACCCTCCCAGTAAAAAAATAAGGAACCAAACCCTCCAGTTCACAGTGTCTGGGAAACAGGAGAGCCCTTCAGCAAACATTTCACAGTCAGAGACTGTGACTGGGACATATTCTACATTATTACAAATCCTGCTTCCTGCAGGGTTTCCTCTGCATGGCAACAAGCACACACAACAAATCAGGGCATTTTCCAGAGCACACCATTCTTCAATTACCCCATTTTCTCCCCCCACCTCTAGCAGTGCTCATATGAGGTTTCATCTCATATTTTGGATAATTCCCTTCCCTTGAGGAAAATGCAGAGCCCCTCCAAGAAGTTTCTGTTGTGGTGTTGTGAGGGTCCCCAGGATGAGGTGAGAGATGAGAATTGACTCCAAGTTTTCAGAAGGCTGATTTATTATATTCTATTATGATATTATATTAATTATAAGAAAATTATATACTAAAACTATACTAAAGAAGGAGAAAGGAGACATCAGAAAGCTAAAAAAAAAAATTATAATAGAAAGTGACAGACTCAGAGAGTCCAACACAGCTGGCTGTGATTGGCCATTAATTAAAAACAATTCACATGCTGGGTAAACAACTCTCCAAATCACATTCCAGAGGAGCAAAGCATGGGGAAGCTGAGGTTTCTCATCTTGCCAGGACAAGAAATCCTGGCAAAGGGATTTTTTCAGAAAACATCACAGTGACACATGTCTGCATTAGTTACTGGGCTCGGCCTGCTGGATCCACACAGCTCCTCCGGGCAGATGGACAGGAAATCCTCTTTCTTTCAGTGCTTAGAGCAGAAAGGCTTTGTCTGGATAAAACAACCTCAGGCTGTTGCCTTTCAGGCTGTATTTGTGAGTTATGGTGGGGCAGCTCCCCTCAGCCCTGGCTCCAGGTGTTGGCTCCCATCCCCGCACACAATGGCGCATTGTTCTGGCTCCTGCGCGCACGGAGCGTTTCCATCCAGCACCAGACTCTTACACCACTGTTCCCTCCCTCTGGACCATAATTGTTATTTTATTCTCTTCAATAACTCTTAGACAGGGATCAGCTCCCAGGGTTGTCTGGGGGCTCCTCTGGGAGCAGATTGCAGCAGAGATAATGGCAGTGAGGAACAGAGAGCAGGGTGACTTCATCCCACGGAGCTCCCACTTCTGTTTCTCTTTCCTTATTAAAGAAGAAAACATTTTTTCAAGCCTCCCTCAGTCACACTTTGGAGCAGGCAATAGAGCTGTGAATTAACATGCTTTCTTGCACCCTTAGATTTTCAGTTCAGAGAAAGTTTATTACGGCCCACACTCATCCCCAAGGTTAATTTGTCACCCAAATGCCACGTGGGAAGTATTCCCCACAGCCAGGAATTTATCACCAGGTGAGTGTTAGCCCAGCAATGCTACAGTTAAGTTGATAATTGTAAAGACACACAAAAAAAAGGGTTTTTTTGGGTTTTTACTGAAAGGTTGTCTCTTCCTTTCAGCCCTCACCACAAACATCGTAACAGTTTTAAACTTCCATCTACTTTTATATTCTTTATTTCTATATTTCATATAAATATATTTTATATATTTATATATAAAATATATTTTAATATATTTATTATTTTTATTTTAATATATATTATATTTCTATTGATATACAAATCTATTATACATTATATGTATTATTTATATTATTTCTATATTTTATATATATTTATATATTTATATATATTTATATATTTTTATATATAAATATAAATATTATTTTGAATATTATAGACCATATCGTAGAAAATATTTTATCTAATATATATATATAATATTTCATATTTTCTCATCTATATTTCTATGATTTCTG